AGGAGGGATGGAGGTGGTCGAGGCAAGGTGAAATCATCAACTAGACTCCACTTGTCTTCTGGGCTGCAGTGCCTTGGTTTCCTCATAAACTGCTGCTGACCAATGCCCATTGGCTTTGCTGCTTCTCCCAGGCTTGACTAATAGCACCCCTTCAACAAGAAAGCCAGCTTGCTACAGAAGGGAAGCCAATGGGGCTGAAGAGAGAGTGATTTCCAGCAATGGAAGCTGATTAGCTTAAACACAGCCATTGCTTGCTGGTGGAGCTTCCTCACCCCTCTGGCTGTCTTGGGGGTTTGCAGTATTGGCCACAGGAGGTAGAAGAGGCATTGTGTGCGATGGGTGAAGGACAAGACCTTATTAGGAGAGTCTCCCAGGAAGGAGGGAATGCAAACAACATTCCTTTATAATGATGAATTTGTTTTATTTCGCTTTGAGTATGTTCATTACAAGAGAATTGTGGAATGACTTTTTTGCATTACTTTGAATATATATTTAAAAAAAATAACAAAAAGGGGCCTAGTGCCATTCCCACCGGGATTTCTTTTATTTGTCTGAAAATGATACAACATTCAGAAATGGTCATAAGCATCACTGGCATGGAATGGGCTAGCACAGAATAGCTTTCTCCGTTATCTAAAACCATACACGTCTCTATTTGTTGATTGGCAGCTACCACTTCTTCGCTGGAAGGCTCTCTAATTCATCATCTGGGACAGCAGGAGCTTTGGGCCCATGCACCAGCCTGCAGTTTCTATTGGTTCTGATGGAACAAGGTCTAGCCATTGTGGTTATCTCGTGATTATTAATCAGATAGCTGCTTCCCAGTCATCCCTGCCCCACATCCCTCATTTTCCTCTCTTGTACTCTGAGCTGTGGCTACCCCAGGCTGCCTCTGCCTCCCGCTTTCTAGAACAAGCTTGCCCGGTCTGCCCCCTCTTACTTGGGTCACTCATCCTCTCTCTTCCTGCTTCCCTCCAGCACTGCTACTCTCAGTGAGAAGCAACTGCAGAGGGAAGGCTGCCTCCTGGCTGAAAGAGGGAAAAAGAGACATAGTCTGAATGTTTGGAATTCCAGAAGTCGCGCAGTACCAGGTAAGGCCACTTCGCTATCTCTGCTGACAGGATGTGGCTGAGAGAGCGTTAGAAATAGAAAGGCCAGAGCAAGATAGCTAGAGGTGTGCATGAAGCCCCTGCGACAGCTCATGGGAATCCCCGACAGTCCCCTGACAGTCCGTCCAAATACCTTGACCCCCGCGACCCCAGAGACTCTGGCTGCAGACAAATTAGTCTCTGGTCTGTCATGTAGTCATGTTACAGGTCAAGTTGCAGCCAGCCACAGGCAAGGATACAGAGTCAGTATGGACACAGAGTCAGTTACTATCCCAGATCTCTGTAAGAAGGAGAAAAAAAAAAGAAGCAAGTTAAGGAGGCAAGCAGGACAGAACATTTATCCAAGAATACTTAAATTTGATTTGTAGTAGTTTATTTTTAATTGCACCCTTTCTTTATCTTAGGGGAGCACACGTGATACCATAGAGTTTATGGAAGGCAGAGGACACCTTACTGCAGTCAGTGCCCGCCTTCCACCATGTAGGTATTGGGGATTGAACTTACGTCTTCAGGCTTGGTGGCAAGCACCTTTACCTGCTGAACTGTCTTGCTGGCCCCCAAGAAATGATTTAAAACAGTAAGTTTATCAGCACTTGAAGAGGCTTTGTTATTGTTTTTATTGACCCTGACAACATTTCTGACCAAGGCAACTTTGAGAAGGAGGACTTTATTCAGCCTCAATGTGCCAATGTTCTGCCTTCCTCTCCTCTAGACTTAGAGTCCAGAGCCCCAGCTAAAGGAACATGCCACCCGCATGTGGTCATCCAGGTTGGGTTTTCCTACCTTAATCAACCCCCTCACAGACACAGTGAAGGGGTGTCTCCTAGGTGATTCTTAATTCTGTCAGGCAGACAAGCTCAGCATTCGACCCATGCCTCCTTGTTTGCTCAGCCCAAGCCTGTCTTGACTTTACAGCGTAGGTAAATTCACAAGAACCGAGAGGGAGCCTAGCGACTCAGCAGGAGGCTGAAATGAGAGGCTTGGGTGTCTGCTTTCTTTCCACCTTGAAATGCTAGCAGCTAACCACTGTTTCCATCCCGGCTGGGACACAGCCCCTGAAGTACCCACTCGTGCACGTTCAGGATTGGGAAGTGTGGCCTCAAGAGACATTCTACTGGTAAAAGGATTTACAGCCACACAGTAAACACTTGGTGGGAAAAGGGAAGCTTACTACTTTAGTATAAATTCTTAAAGTGCTCTAATGCAAAGATCTCAACTTATAACAACGGGGGTTTGTTTTAAAGATATATTTTTATTTATGTGTATGCTGGTATGAGTGGTTGCCATGTGTGTGCAGAGCCCACAGTGGCCAGAAGAGGGTGTCAGATCCCCTGGAGCTGGAGTCACACACAGGTGGTTGTGACCTGCCTAATACCGGTGCTGGCAACTGAGCTCTAGCCTCTGGGACAGCAGCAAGCGCTCTCTTTTAACTGTTGAACCATCTCCCCAGCTCACTGACTAATTTTTCCTGAATAAAGAGAACCTTCTGTGGCACAAGCAAAAAGAGTTCAGAATGCCAAAAAATTTTTTTTTTCTTTTTTGGTGTTTTGAGACAGGGTTTCTCTCTTTAGCTTTAGAGCCTGTCCTGGAATTCTCTCTATAGAACAGGCTGACCTTGAACTCACGGAGATCCACCTGCCTCTGCCTCTCGAGGGCTGGGATTAAAGGTGTGTGCTGCCACCACCTGGATGACTTTTTTTAAAAAAAGATTTATTTATTTATTATGTATACCGTGTTCTGTCTGCATATGTGCCTGCACGCCAGAAGGGGGCACCAGACCTCATTGTAGATGGTTGTGAGCCATTATGTGGTTGCTGGGAATTGAACTCAGGGCCTCTGGAAGAGCAGGCCGTGCTCCTAACCTCTAAACTTTTTAAGTGGATCAGGATCAGTCCCCGAGAACCAGTCTAGGTCAAATGAGCCTGGTCACTAACAATGCACTTTGGTTATGTGACATGTTAACATTAGAGGGGGAGGGTGGAGAAGGGGGAGGGATAGGAAGGTTTTATTTATTCTCCTTTTTATCTTTGCAGGTTTAAGCCCAACATTTCTTCAAAAGTGAAGCCATAAAGAAACCCATGTCCTTTCCTCCTGTGCTGTTCCTGCCGCATCCTGTTGCATCCTGTTTAGCAAATAGCCATTGTTCTTTAAGAATTCTTATTTCTGTTGGTGCTGGGGATAGACCCCGGGCTCATGTGTGCCTGGTAGACATTCTGCCCTCCACTACCCCCAAAGACACGTTTGCACTCTTTGTTTTTTTTTTTTTGTTTTTTTGTTTTTGTTTTTTTTTTTTTTGGTTTTTCGAGACAGGGTTTCTCTGTGGCTTTGGAGCCTGTCCTGGGACTAGCTCTGTAGACCAGGCTGGTCTCGAACTCACAGAGATCTACCTGCCTCTGCCTCCTGAGTGCTCGGATTAAAGGCGTGCGCCACCACCGCCCAGCTTGCACTCTTTGTTTTAAGACAGTATCTCACTATGTTGTCCAGGTTGGATTCAAACTTTCAATACCCCTGCTTTAGCCTCTTGGTACCTGGGATTATAGGCTTTGCACGAATAAGCTTGGCTATATTGTCTTTGTTGTTTGAAACATAATTTCATGCATCTCGGGTTAGCTGCAAACTGGATAGGAGGTTAAGGATGACCTTGAGTTCTGCCCCACCCCCATCGTCCTGCAGCCACCACTGGAATATTGGGACTGTGGGGGGGGGGGAGGCGGGGGGACACGGGCACATCACACCTGCTAATCAGTTTTAAATGGATGAAACGAGTTAGAATTTGGAGATTTGATTTCCTGGACCTGGACCAGGATTCTTCCAGCCACACTGCACACCAGGTGCCTCTCATCAGAACGTGTTTGTTTGAACCAGTTGGACTCAGTCAGTGTCAGCTGTACCCAGGTGCCAGGCACTCAGAATTGGTTCTCCTTTGGCCTCATCTCTTGTGCTTCCCAGCTCCCTTTTTCTTTTTCTTGGAGGGGTATCTTTCTGTTCCCACAAAGCATACCATAGCACACTTACCCCTCATGCGGCCTGGCTCTAAGGTAGAGTGCCTGCATTCTGCAGCCACCCACCTCTACACACAGGTACACCTGCCCTTTCCCGAACACCCCCTACAGGCAGGCTTTTGTGGCAGCCATAAGCAAACACGCTGATTCACATCAAGGGAGAGCGACTCCTGTGCCCGGATGTCTCTTAGATTGTTTAAGGCCATCCTGCCCTCTCGGGGAAAGAGGGACGTTTTCTCTTTCTTGCTTTCTTCTCCCAGTTCTAGGCGCGTGGACTGAATTTAAACATTTTAGCTTTGTGCGTGGACTCAAGGAATTGGCAGTCGGAGCAACAAGTTGGCTTAGCAGGCAAAGGCGCTTGAGGGCAAGCCCGAGGACCTTAGATCAAGAAGGCATGCTGAGTTGTTCTGGTTCTTGGGGAGTTTCTTTCTTAGGGGTGTCCTCTAACCCTGGAAGCCAGAAAGAAGGCTTCACTGAAAACCAGTCTTAACCCCGTGGTTGCAACCAGAATGGCTGTTCCTCAATACTCAAGGATGTCCAGAAAGCTCCCACAAACTGACTTTCAGGCTCTGGTCCTCTCTGTCTTCCTCTTCGCTCTTCCACTGACGACCCTGACCAGCCCGGGAGCCCTCTAAGTTCCTCCATCACCACTCTCCAGTCTCTAACCAGCCCTCCAGCCTCTGTCCAGACCGTCCTCCCCTCTCCTGCCTCTGCTGGTGGATTTCTCTTCTCGAGGTTTCCAGGGGTCCGGCAGCATCACGGATTTAAAGAACCCCTCATCCCCGGGGACCGGGGTGGGTCAGAGCCGGCTCTCCCCTATACGGCCGCCAGGGGGCGGCAGGGGCGGCTGGAGGTGACAGCGGGAGGCCGCGCGGGAGGGCAGGGCGCACGGACCGCGCTCTCCGCCCGCAGACTCCGCGCCTGAATTGTGCGCGCTGGGGACTCGCTTGCCGCCCGCGCACCCGACTCGCCGGGGCGCAGCGGGAGCCCGTGCGGGGCAAGCGGCCGTCCATGCGGCGGCGCTCGGGAAGCACGCGGAGCTGAGGAGGCTGACGCTCCGGACTAGCTCCAGGTGAGCAGAATGCGCAGTCCGGCCCGCCGTTCGCCGGAGCCCGGGGCAGCCACGCAACCTGGCACGCGTGGGTCTGTCGGGGCCCAGGGTCGCTCGGATCATTGTACCTGCTTCTTCCCTTCTCTTCCCGTCCTCTTCTCCTTCCTTCCCCACTTCCCCTTCTTCTTCCCTTTCCCGTTCTCTTCTATTTCCTCTTCTCTTTCCCTTCCTCTTTCCATTCTTTTCCCCCTTCCTTTCAGCTTCCCCTTCTCCCTCATTCCCTTTACTCTCCATCTTCTCTTTCCTTTTCACCTTCCACTCCCCTCCTCATCCTTTCTCTTCCCGTTTCCTGGGAGTTTTTCCCTTACTCCCCCTTAACTCCAGAGCCAGGCCATCTGGGGTGGGGGAAGTAGCAAACTAGCCCTTTTGAGGTCTGTTCATCTCAGAGGGGGAACTCCTGAGTTGCACAGGCTGCGCTTGTACCCCTACCCCAGCCTTGCTTTCCTTTGCTTAGCCTGGGATTGCTGGTGGAGTGTCAGCAGCCCCAGAGCCCCAATCTGGAGCCTCCAACACTTTGGTTTCTAGAAAGCCTCTGACCCCTAGGTCAGGTTAGTCTTTGCAGCCCAGTGTCATTGCTAGCCCAAGTGGACCTGCTGTTTCTGTCAGCCTGGGATACAGCTCATAGAACTGTAGCCCTAATGTGATTGAAAAATTAGCGTTTGGACCAACTTGCTCACCTTGAAGTGGGAGAGATCTAGAAATGAAGTTTCATTTTTCTTAGAAATAACTGCAGCCGTACCTTGGGAAGCTGATTTGAGACACCCACTTAGCATGTGGAATTATGGGTCTAGAGAGATTTTAAGAAGTCCCCCAGCTTTCTGTGCCGTGGAAAGTGCACCCCTCATCTGACAGTGTCTCTCCGTTTTGCAGGCAGTAGGGTGAATTGAAGCCTGATTCTGGGAAGCTGATTGAAGCCCATTAGAATTTGGAGTGAGTGAAATATAGCCCAGGACGCCAAGGAATTATCGTGCCCAACTTCCTTTGCATCTGCAATGCCCAGACAGCAGCTGAGATCTCACACCTTTTAGAGCCACTGTATTGTCATGACATCGCTGATGTCTCTGACCTGGTGGAGATGGAAGTGACACAGTTGCTGGGCTTGAGAGGACCTTAACTGGGCCTCTGTGTACAAAGGAGCAAACATTTTAAAATAAGCTGTCATTTAAATGTAGCCCTACTCAATTCCTATAGATTTTTGTTGGCACCGTAGTTGAATTCCTTTGAAAAATGCAATCCTACCCTGAAAATCAATGCGCGGAAGCAGCCGAGAGTCCCGGGGCTTTCCCATAAACCTCTGCAGGGCTGGAGCCGGGAATTCCCAAAGGTCCAGCCTCGCAGAATGAATGAGTTTGGGTGAGGAGAACATGAGGAGCCACTGCTGGCACAAGTGATGGCATTGGCCTCACTGTGAGGATGGCAGGGCTCCGGTGGTCTCCATGCCCAGCCCAGGGCAGGGCACCATTGCCTCACCCTTACCCGCTGTGCCATGGCCAAGTCTCATGGCCAGGTGTGAAAGGAGAGGAACAGAATACAGTTTGGGAGGAAGGTCAGGGCTTGACGTTTTTGTTTGCTGAGCGATCTTGTCTGTTGCCCACAGAGTTCCTCTCTACCCTCCGCATTGTCCTTCAGGGCATCACTTTTATCCCTATTGGCTGCTGGTATCCATGTTCAAGTGCCCCCCAGCACCCTTATCCCATCCCCTATATGCAGAGCTCATTTATCACAAACCCTTCCACATTCTTTCTTTCACGATCTCTCAAACTCTTTTCCTGCCCCTACTTTAAACCATGTCCAAATTACAGTAACAATTTCCCTTCCTGCCTACTAGCCTTGGGTGGCTCTCTTCCTTGTAATCCATCTTCTTTCATGCTGACAGATGAATATTTCTGAAATTCTGACTTCACCACATTGCACGAAATCACAATGGCTCCCCAGTATTCACTTCCATTGGATTTTCCCCCAGCAAATACTTCTGAACATCCGTTGTATGCCAGGGATTATTACTGTGTGCTGGGGGCTCATACTGAGCAAGGATGTATCATTGCCCTTCAGGGGCTGAGAGGAGAGAAGCTGATAAATGACCACCCAGGGAGAGAGAAACAAAACGGGGCGGGCGGGAGGAGGAGGTGAAAGAATTAATATGAATATCCATGTGCACGCATGAGCAGAGCATCCAGGAGACAGGGGAGGGAGAAACTGAGTCCTAGGCACACGTGGCTTTGAAGATCTCAGCCCCTGGTTGCCTTTTGAGCCAAAAATGAGACTGTAGTGACAGATGAGGGTCTGTCACAAATGGCTTGTTCCACCCCCCACCCCCCCTTTCGGACAAGGGTGCTCAACATGTAGCTCAGGTACTGGAACCTGAGCTGGTCATCCTCCTACCTCAGGTACTGGAACACCGAGATCATGGGTGTTTGCTGTCATGCCTGACTTAGTTGTCCTGGCTTATGTGTGTGTGTGTGTGTGTGTGTGTGTGTGTGTACACACATGCACGTGTGCATTTGCACCTACATGTGTGCATGTGCACCACAGAGGCCATAGAATGTCAATCTGTGTCCCAGGGACATGCCTTTTTTTCTGTCCCAGGATTGGTATAAGCATGTATCGCTATGCCAGCCTCTCTTTCTTTCTTTCTTTCTTTCTCTCTCTCTCTCTCTCTCTCTCTCTCTCTCCTCTCTCTCTCTTTCTCTCTCTCTCTCTCTCTCTCTGTCTCTCTTTTTCTTTCTCTCTTTTCTTATTTATATCAGAGGGCCTTAACTTTGACCTAAAGGAGTGAGTGGGGGGATTGTGAGTTCAAGAGAGCTCCCCTTTTGCTGTTGTTTAAGAGGCCTTGGAAAAGAAGTTTTTGAAAGCTCAACACATCCTTCTTGTCTTCCCTGAAAGCATCTAAGCCCGGCCCTTGTGTCCCAAAGTCTGAACAAGTGTGAAGAAGAAAGATCAGAATGCCTTGGTTTGAAAACCCCAAGCTGGTGGGGGTACAACACAGGCTGTAATCTTCCAAATAGTGCTGGCCAGGCTAGGCTAGCCACAGGCACGCTTCTTCCCTAGAGTGCTGGCTGACCTATGGCAGATTCTCACTTAACAGTTCTTTCTACTTTTCCTTCTCCCACACTGATCTTCACATAGAACAATGGGATAGGTGGCCTGGAGGCTGGTGTGGGTTTGAAGCCCCCTAGGCAAAGCCTGGGTGCAGAGTAGGTACTCAGTGTCACTTCCCATTTCTCCTGTCTCCTCTGACTGGTGAGTGCTGGACACAGTGGGCACTCACTAAACCTATTCCAGAAGAAACTTGCATACAGACTTAGCCTGTCAGGTGCAGGTTCTGTCTGAAGGACTGCCTGTTATTGCCCTGCACGCCAACCCAGCTGCACTACGGTAATCATCCAGCCAGCATCCCGTCTTCTCCGCACTTCCTGTCCAGTTTCCCCTTGGGTCCTCTAAAGGGCACAAACACCAGGTGGGCAGCGGTTTTTCTCCCTGGCGATTGTCATCTTGGGGAAAGTGGCCACTTTTAGTTTATTTCTCTTTCTTTCCCTAATCCTTTAGTTAAGCAGTAGGTGCTTGTGGTCTGGGAGCCTTAAGGATAGCTTAGGTGGAAGATAGGCAGTGTTCTCCCTCTGCTTGGGTGTGGTCCCTGGAGTCCCGAGCCAGGCTTGTGCCTCTGTGTCTTGTCCCCGGGAAGGTGGCACTGGCCGGCTCCCAGGCACCCTCCCAGGCCCCTTGGCAGGCTGCCTGAGGTCTGACCAGCAGGGAAGACAGAGGTAATGAGTGATTAATGGGTGCCTCATCTAATCTCCTGCCAGGGGAAATGAAGGACCAGTCATGGGCTGGAAGCTGGTCTTGACCTGCTCCAGGTGGGCTTGGAATGCACCCAGCTCAGGATGGGGATTAGGGCTTGAAAGACAAGAGGAAATGAGATGTTAACCCTTTAGCTGTGGCCCTCCGACGCCTAGCTGGAAAATGGCAGGGGAATTATCTGCAGGCATCTGATGAAAAGCTGGGCATCGCCTTTGATTTACGGCAGGGATGCAGCCACGCGTCTGACTACTGTGGGGATGGTTGTGGGCCTTGACTTTGTGATCATTTTCTTTGAGGTGAGATCATGAGAGAGATGATCAATCTCTGCTGCCTGGGGCTGCATCAGCCTCTGGGAGACTGCCTCCTCGCCTCCTCGGAAAGCTGCTGATGCTATCAGCAAGTGGTAAATTTGCAGTTACTAAGTGTGCTTTTTCTTTCCTCCTGAAACGGGGGTTCCTCCAGCAGCCTGTCATTTCCAGGAAGATAAACAAAGAAGGCATTTGCCTCTGGGCTAGATACCACCTCTCTGTGATGTAGTCCCGTCCACTCCTGTGTCAGCAGACAGCAGCCTGTGTATGTGTCGAGAACTGAAGGTGACAGCTCTCCAGAGCCAGCTCAGAGTCCCAGTCTGGGTCTCAGCACGCTGTTGGCTTCAAACAAGGTTCTTAACTACTCTTTTGTCATTTTCCCACCTTTAAAGTGGGTGTCATAACAGTGCAGTATACAGCATGGGGAGAGTTGTGACATCGTAAGATGCTGTCAGCAGTCCCGGGCTCCTACCCAGGTCATTTCAGTCTTAGCTGTCTTTCTTCTCACCTACCCACATCACCCTTCCTCAGGACAGAAGCCGTTCCTCCACTCCTCCGCCTCCAGGACTCACTTCTGTGAAGTGACTTAACTCTTTGATTGATTTGGCTTGTTTGACCCCTGACCCCGCATGCTTTAAATTCTGGTTCCACCCTCTGTTGCTGGCCCCATGGCCTCCTGCTGCCCTTTTGATTAGACCTCCAGCTCCTTGCCCTCTGCCTCCTTGCTAGCTGGACAGAATGCTGGTGATCTGGATAGTGATGTCAGCCTGGATCTCTGGTGGCCTAAACCGGTTCTGCTCTCCTCTGCTCATTGCTAGTTTGCTATGACCCAGGAGCCCCAGGCCAAGTGGATGA